GTAGAGGGGGTAGAGAGAGAAGAGGGGAGGGGAGGGGAGGGGAGGGGGATAGTAGAGAATAGGATAGACAGCAGAATACATCAGACACTAGAATGGCAATATGTAAATCAATGGAAGTGTAACTGATGTGATACAGCAATCTGTATATGGGGTAAAAATGGGAGTTCATACCCCACTTGAATCAAACTGTGAAATATGATATATTAAGAACTGTGTAATGTTTTGAACTACCAACAATAAAAAAAATGAAAAAAAAAAGAAAAGGTGAAGTTGAGTATAGCCGTGTAATTATCAGTAAAAACTATAGGATTTACTATATTAAAAAAGCTCATTTAAATGTATTATGTTAATTATACAACTATAAATACAAGTTACATGAAAAGCCTTGATTGTATTTGTTTTGTCTATTCTACTGATGTAGCCTTAATTGCCATGATAAGAAAACACTTACACTGAAATCACATCAGACTGTGTGACCACTCCAGCAACCTGCTCTAGTAAAATACCAAACAAATGTTATGTCACTGCTTGCCTCATCGGGGGGCAGGATTAAACACTGAATATGTCCCCCCATTTAATATTTAGTCAAAATGTGAGCGAGATATCCTTTGTGTATAAACTCCAAAAAAGGAAACAATCACTCATAGTTTAAAAAAAAAAAAAACATGAGTCATTGTAATTGTATTGTCATGAATTATAAACCTCAGAGCAAATTGCAGTAAGTTCCTTAGCAAGTTCCCAAAGTAGCAGATTGGATCCCAGTAGTTATTTCAGCCTTGGGTAATCAATCAGAGAGCTGAAAAAGAATAAATTAAAGGTAACCTAGTTCTTCTATCACCATTGATTTATAATTTATCACAGCAAGTGATACATGCACTGATTGCCTATTTTCTTTAGGATATATACCAATCAACAGCCATTTATCCATGGTCGATTTCTAACCTACCACCAGTTTAAAACTATTGAGGGAATAGGATTGAGACTAATTTTAACATTAGTTTAGAAAAACATAATTAAAAAGGTAAATATGCTGGATTCAGGAGCCAAGTATAAATTCCATTTGGATGATGTGTAGTTCTGGATTACTAATTTATCTATATGGCTAATCCCCTTCATTAGAGTGCATATTTCAGAATTGGATACAATTATTTACATGTTGAAGGTGGTGATAGTTATTACATGACATTAGTTTCACTAATTCCACCAAAGATAGTTTTTCTTTGCCAACAATCTTCTCTATAAATCCTGTTGTTATGCATGCAATTTTGTTTGCTTTGGGGGTTTTCTAATTTTGAAAAGCACAGATCTAGGCATGATTATTCATGTTTGGGATTAAAAAAATCCTTATAATTCTGGCTTAGAGAGAAGCTAATACAGTAATTTACTCTGTTCCACAGTCCCAAAGATGATCTTTCTGGCTTTGCTTTTCTCTCCTGTAGCAACCATCCACCTTAAGTTATGCAAGACAAATCATTAAGAAGGAAGGCTTGGGACTCCAGGGCCTCAACAAAGGATTTACAGCAACTTTGGGACGTCATGGAGTTTTCAACATGGTTTATTTTGGCTTCTACTACAATGTCAAAAACATTATTCCTGTCAATAAGGTAACTATTTAATGGACTAAAATCTGGGTGAGGGATGCTATCTCTAATAACAGCTTCATTTGTCGGTTCTTTATCATACCCCAGTCATTGTACAGAACATTTATATCCATTATCTAATTTGACCCCCACATCAGTCTTATGAGTGTTGCTATTCCATTCAAATCCAGGAAATAAGGTTTAGAAAGATGAAGTATATTTCCCAGGATCTCAGAGTAAATAGTGAAGCAAAGACTTGAAGCAAAGACTTGAAAGTCTGATGTAAAAATTTATCTACCATATCTGAATGTTTTCCATTTATCAGTAATAGGAATTTCTACACACTGTGTTATTCCTTTCTCAGTCACATCACTTTATTAAGAAGTAGAAGTTTTCATATTCTAAAGAAATTTTGAGCTCATAGAGAAAAAAATGGCAGTCTAAATTTTAATTTTTGCCTAGATATTTTTAATTTACATAGGTTAATTAAGGTTAAGCAATAAATAAACTCTCCTAGAATCATTTGCTTCTGGTGCAATATAATAATTATTATTATTATTATTTTCATTACTTTTAAGGGTAACTGACATGCCAACTGCCTGATTTCTACCATATAAAGTTAGCAAAGAATGTGTTTCAATCTAGAGTTATAGAATCCCCCCTCCCATGAAGTCGCACATCCATGGAGCTAACCTCCTTTTTAGACTCTGAGACAAGTAATTTGTATAGCATGAGAGAAGAAGTGTCTATTCCTCTGATTCTCCAACTCTCTGAAGTCTTGAGACAATGAGCCAGATGTGATGGCACACCTCTGTAATCCCAGCGGCTCCAGAGACAGAGGCTGAGGCAGGAGGATCCCAAGTTCAAAGCCAGCCTCAGCAATTTAGGGAGAGCCTAAGCAACTCAGTGAGACCCTGTCTCTAAATAAAAATACAAAAAAGAGCTGGGGATATGGCTCAGTGACTAAATGCCTCTGGGTTCAATCCCCCCCAAAAAAGAAATTACATACAATGAAATGAATTATATAAATTGTTTACATAAATTAGATATTCATATACCTTACTTATATATATATTTGTGAATGTATTTTAATGTATTTGCTATTACAATAAAATGAATTTATTCCCACTGCTCAGAAAGAAATTCAGAAATATGGATAAGATGTACATATGATCACATGTCCCCGAACTTTAAAAAAAATCCACAGATACAGACTTCACCCTACAATTAATCCAAACTCAAGGTATTAAAGTTCTATATTATTAGTAAAGAACCAGAAGCCAGTCATTTTTTTAAACATTGGAATATTCTAAAACTATGAGGAATTTGTTTATCTTTTGCAAACGAACCTTGTTAATAATCTGAACATAATGCTGTATTTCACTGAATAGTTTTATTAAGACAATGAGCCAGGTGTGGTGGTACACGCCTGTATATATGTGCTCTATGTACCAGACACTCTGGTAAAGCCAAGGATATCCTATGATGACTAAAACATTGCCCTATTTTTAAGGGGCTTCTCCAGGAGACTTTGAGAAACTCTCTGACAGACACAGTGAAAAATGGAACATCATGTTTAGATAAACATCCTTTTGGAAGTCACTAGTTAGTAATAATGTGATATTTTATTCTAGATCATGTTTAAAAAAATGTGCAAATCCTCAGATTTGTCTTTTCTTAATTTGGATCAGTATTTTAAAAATAAATCGCCATCAGTCTTTTTTTATATTGAATAAATCATCATATTTAAAAACAATTGCTTCTCTAACCTTCAAACCAGGAAGGAAGATTTTAAAATTCACGAATATTTATCTCCTTTTTGTAATATCAAAACTTGCCCTACTCTCAGCCATTCTTCCTTTCCATTTATAAAGGATATACAAGAATGTAAATTTTATAAGAACAGGGACTTTGTTCGTTTTTGGTTTTCTACTGCTGATTCTCAGAGATTAAAACAGTGCTTGGGGGCTGGAGATATGGCTCAGTTGGTAGAGTGCTTGCCTTGCATGCACAAGGCCCTGGGTTCAATCCCCAGCAGTACCCAAACAAAACAAAAATAGTGCTTGGCACAGAGCAGACTCCTCAGTAAATGTAAATCAAATGAAATAAAGGGACGAAGGAAAGAAGAGAAAAAAGAAGGAAAGGAAAAGTTTGGGGAGGGTTGTGGTTTCTTCCGATTTTATGGATATTAAAACGAAGTGTTGGCATTTGAGGGAGTCACTGTATTAGGTGATACTACTTTATCTAGGAAGCAGGCAGAAATTTTATGGCTAAAGGGCTTAGAGCTAGAATTGAATTTGATCCCATAGTCAAACAGAATTCCAGAAGGAAAAAAATAGTCACTTAAGGTCATATATAGCATAAGTTCTTTATTTTAAGAAGTAAGATATTGATTTGGAAAAATAATTCTAAAAATGGAGGTTTCCATTGACAAAATATATTTCTCCAAGTTGTCACAGTAGACTTCCAGAGCAGACATGTTTATTGGCAGCAACCAAAAATCCTGATAACTTCCACAGTGTAGACAATATCCCATTGCCCAGAAAAACCTTTAGAGAATAGAGCACAAAAAGTATGGGAATGACCTCTTCTTCCCATGTCTCATTATATTCACTATCTGTCCAGTTTTTTCTAATTATATTCAGTGAAATGTCAACCAGCATTTTGCCAAATGAATTTTCTATTAGCTAGATTATACCAGTAAAGAAGTACTTCATTCATTAGTTATGACCCTTAAAAAAAAAGTCTTCCAAATCTTTAAGTAAAAGATTTTGCATTTTGTTCTCTATGGTTTTAGAACCAATTTTTAAATTTGCATTATAATTCTTAACAAGCTGAGAACTCAAGACTTTAACATCTCCCTGTTCCACACCCCTATCCAAAGCACCATTATAACAGGGAGGTTAATGATATATGGTTTGTCATTATGTTAAAAATGAAGTTTTATAAATTCTACTGTAATCCTTTCTGTACATTAGATTTTCCCTAGTGGAGAAAGACAAAGCACCTCTTCCTACATATTTGACTATTAGCAATATTAAGTCATAAACCTTGACAGTGCTGAAATGTGCTATGTTGGCTCAGAATTTCATCTCCAAATTTTAGTTTCCAAGATAGAAGAACTGATTCCTTTTCATTTAATTATCTGAGCACTTGGGCCCCCTAGAATAGGGCAGTGGTAGAAACATTATGCAAAAATTGGGAGTCGGCAAGTCTGAGCATGACTCCAACATATATTTACCGAGTGTCTTACAGGTGCCAGGCCCTGTGTTGGACACCAGAGGATGCAATAGTGCGAAGCTATCAGATCTTACAAGGCCATGGAAAGTAACAGACAGAACAAGTAAACAAACACACACTTATAATGATGGAGAAATGCACCCAATATAAACCTAGAGGTCAGGAAAGGCTTTCCTGAGAGAGTGACATTGGAGCCGAAGAATGAATTAAGATTTAGCTGGTGACAGCAGATGGGCACAAGCATTCCAGACATATGGAACATCTAAGAAGGGAGGGTGCTAGATGCCTGGGACAAGATGAAAGACAGCCTAGGTGACAAAAGCAAAAGTGTGAAGGCAGGAATCTGGCTAGAGAGACAGGGGACAGATTGTGTTAACCATTATAGACCATGCTAAAGACTCTTATCTTTTTCTAAAGAGCACTAGTGTCTTAGTACATTTTCTGTTGCTATAACAGAATACCTGAGACTGAGTAATTTATAAGTAAAAGATGTTTATTTAGCTTACAGTTATGGAGACTGGAAAGTTCAAGAGCAGATAGCCGTATGTGGTAAGGACCTGATGCTGCATTATAACATGATGGGAAAAGGCAGAAGAGCAAATAGACATTTGCAGAAAAGAAAAGGGGACAAAGGGAACCAGATACTTTATAACAACCTATTCTTACAATAACTAACCCAATTCTTCAATAACTACATTAATCCCTTTCTCAGGGTCCCACCATCTCTCAATACCTACAAGTTTTGGTAGGGACAAACCACATCCAAAACATAGCAACTGGGAAGCCAACAAAAGATTTTAAGCAAAGCAATTAGCTGATTTCTCTGACTATAACACAGAGAATAGATAGAGTAGGAGTGGTGAGGAAAAGGCAGAATGTACAGGTAGGAAGGATTTCAATATGAGATGATGGTGTCTTGGACAATAGTGTCCATGGTAGAGACAAGAAGTGGAGACAACTTGGAAAATATTCAGAGGGCAGACTCCACAGGATGTGACAATGGAGTATACACATGCATGTTGAGAAAACATATTGAGGGGATTAATGATGTCTAGATTTTTGGCTTAAACAACTGAAAGGATAATGATACTGATACCATTCACTGCCGGGGGTKGGGGGGCAGGGAGACACAAAGAGAAAATCAGGCATATGGGAGAATATTATGGGCTCAGCTTGGAAACTGTGAGTTTAACTACATTTGGTCTGCAAAGTGCAGACACTAATTCCATTGGTTAGATGTGGGTTCTGGAGCTTGAGAGGAGATACGTGAGTGGAGATAGACACTTAGAAGTTTATCAGTTAATGTTGGTGAAAGGAAAAGACCTGTCCTTAATTCCATGACTTTGAACCAAGCACTTCACTGCTCTGAGCTGCAGAAAATTTTATCTGTAAATTAAAAGTATTTGACAAAAAATTCAGGAATTAAAATAAATAATATTCAAAGTAGTTTGTGAATGTTAAGGTACCATGAAAGTGTTATGATGCTGATGACAGTGCTGGGGGAAGAGGAGAGGTTGGAGAGGCCAGTGATGGAAATGGTTAGTATGAAGAATTGCATGAGGAATTTTTCCCCAGGACTATTCTTTTTGCACTTAGATGAATACTATGTTTTTCTTGCCTGGAACAAAGTCATTGATTTTATGTGTTCTGTAATCTAAGCCCGATTCAAAACTGGGAAACTAGTATTCTTTAAATTTAAACCATAATAAATCAATCCTTTGTGAAGGGGAAGGTATGATAATCATTAAAACATGTTGAAGAACGTCATCAAGTGGTTATAAACC